AATCTTTCTAACCCGTGCGAATTGTGTATTTCAGAAGAAAAAAATGCCTGCAAAAAGAAAGTACACCAGGAGGGCCTCAGCTACTAGCCAGGGGGCTACAACTAATGCTGCTCAGGAGGAGGACACTCCGGCCCAGGGGGTTGCATCGGGCTCAGTGCCCAGTGCTTCAGACATGGATGTCAGGGGAGCTATCCAGTTGCTCACCCAGATCGTTGCTACTCAGGCTCAAAGGCAGGGAACAAGTGATGTTCATGAGATGGGTAGTTCCAGGTCTAGGGAATTCCTCAACATGAAACCTCCCGTCTTCACAGGGTCCAAAAAGGATGAGGATCCGCAAAATTTCATTGATGAGGTTCAGAAGATATTTCGAGTGATGCATGCCAAAGACACTGAGGCAGCAGAGCTTGCTGCGTACCAGCTGAAGGATGTTGCCAACACTTGGTATGAAACATGGGAAGAGTCCCGAGGGGAGGATGCGGCTCCTACGACCTGGAAGGAGTTTGTAGATGCGTTCCTTGAGCACTTTCTACCTATTGAGGTCTTGGAAGCTAAGGCTTTGGAGTTTGAGAGACTCAGACAGAATGATATGAGTGTGAATAGGTACTACCTCAAGTTCGTCTCTCTGGCCAAGTATGCTCCGGAAATGGTACGTGATATGAGGGCTAGAGTTAGGCGGTTTGTGTTGGGACTTTCAGATGATTTGTTTGCTGATGCTAATATAGCTGCTCAGAATAATGACATGACCATCACTAAGATGGTTGCCTTTGTTCAAGGGAAAGAAGACAGGTTGAAGGAAGAAGAGCGACTACAGAGAGAGAAGGAGAGGGAATTCAGCAAGAGAGCTAAGTCTACAGGAAATTTCAACCATGGGGGATCTCAAGCAGGAGGAAATCGCCAGTTTTTCAAGAAATCAAAATCAGGACCTGCTCCATCTTCAGCTAGTGCACCGGTTCAGAGGTCAAAGTTTAACAAGAAAAACCAGAATTTCAGAACAACAGACTCACAGTCACAGACTAGTGTGGGCTACAGAGTCCCCGGTTACCCTATTTGCAACACGTGTGGTAAGAGGAACCCAGGGTTGTGTTGTTTGGGCACAAATGGTTGCTTTGGGTGCGGTCAGTAGGGCCACTTCTTGAGGGATTGTCCATCGGCAAAGCAGAACAATGGAGGCAATGTAGCTCAGTCCACTAATTCAGCAGCCCATCATAACTCTCAGGCCCAACAAGGGCGCGGTGCAGCAAAGTCTAATAATGCAGGCGGTGGTCGAAACCGCTTGTATACACTGGCAGGCCATCAGGATACAGAGGCTCGTGGAGATGTTGTCACAGGTATGCTAACATTATTCACTTTTGATGTCTATGCTCTTATAGATCCGGGGTCCACTCTATCTTATGTAACTCCATATATTGCTAAGAAATTTGGGATAGAACCAGAAAAGTTGTGTGAACCCTTTGAAGTGTCCACTCCAGTTGGAGAATCAGTTATACCAAGGTGTGTCTATAGGGGATGTCCAGTCAAAGTGTATCATCGTCTTACTGTAGCAGACTTAGTAGAATTAAAGATGGTAGACTTTGATGTGATCATGGGCATGGATTGGTTTGAGTCATGTTATGTCACAGTGGGTTGTAGAACCGAAATAGTAAGTTTTGAATTTCCGGTGAACCAGTCTTAGAATGGAAGGGTGATGCAGTAACACCTAGGGGTAGGTTTATTTCCTATCTTAAAGCCAGAAAGATGATCTCTAAAGGATATATCTATCACCTGGTTCGAGTGAAGGATGCAGATGCTCAGATTCCCACTCTCCAGTCGGTGCCAATTGTAAATGAGTTCCCGGAAGTGTTTCCCGAAGATCTCCCTGGAATCCCTCCCGATAGAGAGATTGACTTTGGAATTGATCTATTTCCAGGCACTAAGCCGATATCTATCCCGCCTTATAGAATGGCTCCAGCAGAGTTGAAAGAGTTAAAAGTCCAGTTGAAAGATCTTCTAGATAAGGGATTTATAAGGCCAAGTGTCTCACCTTGGGGCGCACCGGTCTTGTTTGTCCGAAAGAAAGATGGGTCTTTGCGTATGTGCATTGACTNAGACTTTGTATTTTGTTAGTAAAAATCTTAGTCTTTTCGTGAATTTTGTGACACCAGATTTCGTGGGTAGACATGTATTTGGAGTATTTGAATTTATTTTAACTCTTCCGCACTTTTCATTTGTTTAGCTATAGTTACTATTTATAATTGTTTGGGTTGATTATTAATGTGTGGAACCTTAATAGTTGGCTTGCTTAGCTTTCACGAGTAGACACCATCACGACTCCCGGGGGTGGGAAATCCGGGTCGTGACAATAATTTTCTGGCAAAATGGTGCTAATTTACACCCCTTAGCCCAAGGTGCCACAAAATATGATGTTCGGGAATAAGGGCGGATCTAGTGCAAAGGCTTATGGATTCTTATGAACCCAGTAACTTTTACATAGACCATGTATTTGCAGAAAAAAATAAGAGAATATTTAGCTTGAAACCCAATTCGTTGATCCAATTATTATGTATATTAGTTTGAAATCATTCTGGGAATTCATAAGCTTAAAATTTTAAATCCGCCTCTGTTCCGGAAGAGTTAATCCTACAATTTCAATGAATTGATTGTAAAAAGAAATTGTCATTAAAATGTAGGACAAATGCAAGATTTAATCGGAAATCCTATAGCCACAAATCCAATGGTCCAATAGGGGCAAATACTTAAATACACGAGCTAAGTGAATACTCATTTGCACCAATACCTATGGCCTTATCCTCACTACTATCCCCTCAACCAGTTCAAGTTTCTTCAACCTCCACACATTCTATTCCCAAGCATTACCACTTCTCTCATTCAACCTCTGTTTCTCTCCAAAATACTCCTAGTTTCACCTCCTTTCCAACCATTACTTGTCCTCAAAATCAAAAATGGCGGACCAATGTTTCTTTCTTCCCTGCTTTCTTCAACAAGACCAAAGACCCTACACCTATTAAACAAGAGCTTCTTGAGGCCATTGCCCCTCTTGATCGTGGCGCTGATGCCACTCCTGAAGACCAGCAAATAATTGATCAGGTAATTTGCTTAATTACTGCTCCCCGTCCTAATTTATGTGACACATTTTGCTTCTCGAGATTCAAATTATGTGAAGTTTGATATTCTGAGATGTACTTTTTTATCATATTGACAATTAACATGAGAAGAATTGCAACTTATACGCCTTTTGTTTCAATTTGTTCGACACTTTTCGGAGTACGATAGTTAAATTGTGGTATGAATTCAGACTTAAATATTTCTAGTTTTTTAAAGAAAATTTATATATTTATAAATACATAAAAAAAATACTACATAAGTTATACGTAATATTTAATAATTCAAAAATATTTAAATACAATTTGGACAATATGGTCAAAGAAAATCTTGTTTGACTCCCCAAATAGTAACAGGTTCATTCTTTGAAGTAGAGGAAGTAGTACTTTTTATTTAGTTTTTGAATATTCAAATTTTAATTTTAAAATACTGAGTTGAACAAATCTAATTTTGCTTTAAGGATTTGTCAAATTGATTCTCAATAAGTAAAATGTGTCATATAAAATCTATGTTTAAGACTTGTTCAATGTCTATGAGTAGAAGCAGAGCTAGGATTTAAAATACCGAATTATAGGCCTTTAAAGTGCTTGCGTTATAAATTAATAATTTATATATATATACTTTTCAGACATAGTTTGTATCAAATCTACTGTGTTCGACCGAACCCGTAGCTCCGGCTCCGTCTATAAGTTCCGGTAAATGTTAGTAAGAGTTAGATTAGCAAAGATGATCCTGTGAAATTGTGCACATCATTTCATAATCTTGTCAATTTTTGCCTTAACAATGTTGTTTGATTAGATTGCTCGCAAACTTGAAGCTTGCAATCCAACAAAGGAACCTCTCAAGTCAAATCTTTTAAATGGAAAATGGGAACTTATATACACAACATCAAAGTCAATTTTACAAACACAAAGACCCAAGATTTTAAGATCTAGAGTAAATTACCAAGCAATAAATGGAGATACACTTCGAGCTCAGAATATGGAAGGATGGCCATTTTTCAACCAAGTTACTGCAGATTTGACCCCATTGAATTCAAGAAAAGTGGCAGTAAAGTTTGATTATTTCAAGATTGGTGGGATTATACCTGTTAAAGCACCAGGAAGAGCTCGAGGTGAGCTTGAAATTACTTACTTGGATGAAGAATTGAGAGTATCAAGAGGTGATCTTGGCAACTTATTCGTTTTGAAAATGGTGGACCCTTCTTATAGGGTCCCTACTTGAGATTGAATACTGCATCCGTTTCAATTTATGTGAATTTATTTGACTGGATACGAATTTTAAGAAAGAAATAACGACTTGTAAAACTTGTGGTCCTAAGCAAGCCATAATATTTGTGTGGCTATAATATTCTTTTGAAACTTTAAACATGCCAGTATTTGTATGACTATAAAAAGTTTCTCATTGAGCGTAGAACTGAATGTTTAAGTTAAATTGTTTCCAAATATAAAAAGAGATCATTCTTTTTTACGCCGACATAAAAAATAGATTCAAATAAACTGAAACAGAGGGAATAGTTATCTAGCGTCACAACTTATTTCAAATAGTTTGTGCAAATTATTTGAAAAAATTTCTCCATTTTAATCTATACAGGATTACATTCGTAGCGATCGAGTAACTCTGAAATGCATAACAAATCTATACTAGTACAGTACTCCCTCCGTCCCTATTTGTTTGATGCATTTCGAATTTCAAGAGTCACACGAGTTTTTCTTTGAGCATTATTTTTGTATACGCCTTCTGAATATTAAGAATGGAGTATTAATTATTGTGACTTATAGTACTTTTGATGTAGTTTTTAATTAAGTATATTTTTTTTCAAAAAATTGAAGAGTCCATATCCAAAATCGTAGCCAAAATTGAAAAGTTTAACTCTCAAAATTCGAAATACATCAAACAAATTGGAATAGAGGAAGTAATATTTAACTATGATTTTCAATCTTCAAAGTTCAAATGCCAAGGACAAAGGATGGTAACAAAGTAACATCAAGGACATTATTCCACTTCTCACCTTACCATTATTTTCTTCCCTTTCTATGTTATCTCTATCACCCACACCAAAGCTGTATAAATTCTCTCAAACATCACAAAATTGACAACAAAACATATCATAAAACAACCAAAGAGCTCGCACTTTTATTATAAACTGGTTCTTATTTTTCTAAGACAATTTTTTCTTGATATTATTTTTTGAGTGGCTATTTTTCACATGACCCTGCGTGAATGCAGGATGTCTTGTGACCGGCCTGCCCGTTGTTTGATCTAGGAGAATAATCCTTGAAGTTGTTCCACCATTTTCTTATCCAATTGGAATGCTTTGGAAAGAACATCTTCAACAAGAGGTGGATTTGATCCAAAAACTTCACTAGCAACCACAATAAGTCCAGGATTCTGGCTATTCAAAGCACCAAAAACAGTTGCATTAGTATGTCCAACATTATACTGAAAGTGAATAAGTCCTTGTGGGAACACAAACACATCTCCTGGATTCAATATTTTGGTAAACGAACGAGTTTTTAATGGATTAACAGTGTCAGGAGCCAAAAATCCAACATAAAGAGTACCTTCCAAAACAACAATAATCTCAGTACCGCGAGGGTGTGTGTGTGGTGGTATAAGGCCAAACGGTGAAAAATCTGCGCGAAGTATAGAAATGCCAAGAGTGTTAAGTCCTCCCAGTCTATTTACATCTACCACATTTACAGCTGATCCCATTCCTGGTAAAGGATTTCCACTAACGTTAAGTCCTGAAAGAAAGAAATCATCTGCTGTCGCGAGTTTTGGATCTTTGCAAAATTTTCCATTCACGAATACTGCAACAATAAAGTAGAACAAAATTAAGTATTAGTGTAAATGAAAATTTAAAGAAATCAGAAAAGGAAATAGTTTAACTTCTATAACGCTGATAGTGTAAACGAATGTTTACAGAAGAGGTCACCTAACAAATTAATAACTACAGAGGATATTTTACGAAACAATTATTTTGTTGATTTCCTGCTAAAGAAACAGGGCAACTTCTATCCGGAGTTTGATCATTGGAAAGAGTCACGCCTGCACCAAATGAATGAAATGAGTGGAAATTTTCCTTCCCCTGACCTATTTTTTTTATAGCTGAGTGGTCAATCCTGATCCAACCATTGGCATCCGTTTGAAGATGGAAGGTTGTGCTAAGACTCACGCTGCTACCCAAAGTCGGGTGCTAGACATTCATATATTCGCCTAGCACGGGATAAAGGGAAATTTAGGTCATGTTAAAATACGACTTATGGCATCTAATGGTCAAATGCCTACGTTCAATTTATCTTTGAAAACTCAAACAGACAGAACAAACGAACTAGGGGACGAACAAATATTAGTCAATATAGTGGGAGCGGTTTGTTATAAAAGACGAATATCCCCTTTCTATTACATTAACGTAGATACTTATGTATAACTAGTTAAAATAATAAGTGGAGAAACAAAGTAAGTAATCTGCTACAACATGTTAAAAATATCCCGAGAGCATAATAAAATACTACATCATTAAATCGAAAAGCAATATGAATATAAAGGAGAGGTTTTGCTAAACGGTTATTTACCTGCAGACTTGGAGTCACTAACTGCAATACAGAAGTCCTGAAAAGGGCTAGGATCAAAGGAAGAACCAAAAGGAAAAATGAGACCAACAATGACTAAGATAATTGTGAGGCAGCAAAAATCCATTTTGGATCCAAACAACTAATAAAGCTTTCTTGAATTATATTAAAACTTCGTTTTTCTTGTGGGAATTGTATAATAGATCACAGGTGATGAAGTGCACTGGAAATTAATCTCAGCCTATTTATAGATGGTTGTCATTTGTCAGCATTGTTTTTCCTATACCTTAACAGTTTAACTTTAGAATTAAGTTTCCTAGTCGTTTCTTATTGTAATAAATACTGATTAATTATTTCTTGAAAATAGCCACCTTATTCATAACTTGTTTTTGACATTGTAAACCTCATTCATCTGTTTACCCTTAAGCTCCCTTAAAATAGAAGAAAACTGAGAAGTTGATATATTACCGTAACACAGCATCAAATTATTCTTCTTGGTTATATCATGTCGGTAGAGAGAATTAATTAAATTATACTTTAAGTCTTGGATAAGCTCCCTAAGGAGCTCAATAGATGAGTTGATAAGGTAAAATTGCTTATCCTAACATGATATTTATACCAAATCAATAAATATAACATACAAACTTTTCCAAACTTTATTCTGCTTGGAAAGGCAGCCCAGTGCACTAAATTCCTGCTATGTGCGGGGTCTTGGGAAGGGCCGGACCCAAGGACCTATTATACGCAGCCTTATCATACATTTATGCAAGAAGCTGTTTCCACGGCTTGAACCCGTGACCTCCTGGTCACATGCATGGCAGCAACTTTACCAGTTACGCCAATGCTCCCCTTTAATAAGAACTAAGAAGGGAAGATTTAATAAAACATATGGTCATGCCTGCATCTTTATTTTAACAGTTCAACAGAACTAGTAACTATTGCACACCACAACTTTCACCACACAGTAATTGACATCCTGCTGGGTGACCGATAGTGGCTCCGGCCTGTTTGCTAATAGATCTGCCCCCGCTAGTAGACAACAACAAAAGCACATGAATATCCAGAATATTAATGTTTGCCCAAAAAAATCATTGGCGATTTTTCACTGGAAGACAGAGGCAGCAACAAGTTTGCAATTTCTGAGTTTATATGCAGTTACGATGCTTGATTTTGGATCGTGATAAACTTAATATTAGAGTCCTAGCTTTAAAGTTGTGTGAGTCAAGGAACAATGACTTAGTAGAGTCTCGTTTATGGATGTATTGAATCTCATACTTATAAGCTAGATCAGGCACAGAGGCATTTAAGAAAGTTTCCCGTTCTTTGATTCTTCCTTGTGCTATAGAACTTGAAGTAAGGAATATGATATCCTTCGTTTCCACCTATGCAAGGGAACACGTTCAACTGATCAAGTACTAGCAGTTAATGATATATATTAATTCTAATTCCATAGATACATATGTGTTAGGATATCTTGAATAAGGACCCAAAATATTCTTATGAGAAATATTAACCCTATTAACCAATAAATCAGATAAATTAATTAGTCAATTTATGTGAAAAACTCAACAGGATTGTTAGCTGACTCATATATGGTAATTCTAATTCCATCGACACATATGTATTAGGTTAGCTTGAATAAGGACTCAAAAATATTCTTATGAGAAATATTAACCCTATTAACCAATAAACCAGATAAATTAATTAGTCAATTTATATGAAAAACTCAACAGGATTGTTAGCTGACTCATAGCACTGAAATATTATTTCTTACTGAATTTAGTCTCTAAGTTTGCCTACTTGTCTTTGTTAATTGCTTTATTTTAGTATTTTATATTATTTGTAGTTATTTAAAATCATCAACTTGAGAAACCGTTTGAATAAATAATTCGTTTTAGTCTAATTTAGTTGATAGCTAATAACAAGTCCTCGTGAGAACGATACTCTACGTACTTATCACTTTATTACTTGTCGATCGTGCATACTTGCAAGTACTTGTTGCAAAAATGGTCATACATTCAACACTAAATATCATTGAACTTTTATTATTTGTGGAATTGTGGTACACTTGAGAGAATCTAAGAGTTACAGAGACATAGATCTTTCTCAAATTTTATTCTGTAGTGAACAACTTTACAAGTAAGAAGAGAAGATTTATTAGAACTTACCGGCATCCCTGCATCTTTATTTCAATAGTTCAACAGAACTATTAACTATTTGCAAACCGCAACCTTCACTACATGATTGACATCATGCTAGTGAGCGATAGCGGCTCATGTTTACTAATATACTAACTTATCACTGATCAAAGATTATATAAAGCCCGGTATTATCAGAAAGCATATATAGGTGTCATGTCCTTTGATGACCAGCGTTTGTGACATGTCTTATTTAGGAGAATTTCTTCCGAAGATCTTCAATCACCATCTTATCCAATTTAAAAGCTTTGGCAAGATAATCATCGCTAATAGGAGGATCAGAAGCAAAGATTGAACTAGGAACTATGGCAGATATATAATTTGCGCCGTTGAAAGCCTGGATTAGTGTTGCACTAGTGTTTCCCACATTATATTGAAAGTGAATATGACCTTGTGGAAAAACAAACACATCACCAGCATTCAAGATCTTGGAAACGAGTTGAGTCTTTTGCAAGTTACTTGAATTAGGAACAAGAAAGCCAACATATAAACTACCCTCTAAGACAGTCATGAGCTCAGAAAAAGGATGTGAATGAAGTGGTACGAGAGCTAATGGCTCGTATATTAAACGAATTATAGTAATACCAATAGTATTGATTGCTGGAATTGTTCTTGCATCTACCACAGATGCATAGATACCATCATAGTTAGCCAATGGTTTGAATTGATTAGGATTAAGCGCTGATGAAGCAAAGTAATCATTTGCATTTACAAGCTTTGAGTCTTCGTATATCTTTTCCTTCTCCAAAACTGCACGCATAGGTTAAACAAAACAACATCTTTATATGACGACTGGATACGAAATTTAAGTAATAAAGAAAGAAAGATATTTGAAACTTATGGTTTTATAATATTTGTGTGACTTTATAACTTTTTATACTTGCAGTTAGGGGCGTACACAAGAATTTTTGTAAGCAATGTCGAAATTTATAGAAGAACGAGAATAATAACTTTAATTATTAAACTTTTAGACAAGAAATAACTTTAGTCTATTGGTTTTGTTGAGTCTTAAGTTAGAAAAAGTCTTGAATTAAATTTTACTTCATCACAATTTTTAATCACATAGATTCTCTCAAATATTTGCAAAAAAGATGTGCTAGTTGTGGTTCGAACCTCTAACCTCTTAGAGTAAAATCAAGCACATAACCGTGCTAAGAGATAATTTATTTAAAGTGGTGTCATTTTATCCTACTTATCCGCTTCATCACAGTACTAACACATATATTTAGTAAAAAAATTCGACCAAGCAGTGTCGTGTGACACCGCTTCGATAAATGTGCATCCACCCCTGCTTGCGGTTTTAAACAAATTATAACATTTGTATAAGCTTGTCATTAAGTGTAAAATAAGAAGGTCAAGTTAAACAATTGTTTTCAAATTTTAAAAAGTATTATAATTTTTTGGAACAAATTAATAAAGAAATATATGATGACCGAAATAGTGTTATGTAAACAACATAAATCCAGAAAGTGAGAACTAATATTGTTTGAAAAAGAATGAATTACCAGCAGCTTCAGGGCCTTTAAGATGAAATGCACAAGCAAAGGAAGAAAGGAAGATAGTGCTGATTAACAAGCATAGGGTCATTGTTATTGCACTATTTGCTTCCATAGCAAAATCTCTAGCTCTCACAATGTTGTTTTGCTTTGAGTTTTCTGTTTGTATTTCTTTCAAACAACTAGAGATGTGTGACTATTTATAGTTTGGATCTTGTTATTTTGTAATAGGAAAAATTATGGTATTGGTAACTCAAATTATAAGTAAAATCCAATAAAATTTTCATAGTATCCGGTCAAAATATTTAACTTACGGCTTGTTTGGAAGGTTGTTACCTATTGTGTTGTATCGTATTATCACTTTAAATATAATGTTTGTTTTAATTGTTATTTAAATTTTATTGTATCATATCGTCAAATTCGTCGTTACGAAACGACGAATAGTGTCACTTTTTGTAACTACCGATTTGGTATGGCTATGTCATTACCTTATTTTTTTTCTCTCATCTTGTCCTTCCTTATTGTATTAAATAATTTTATTTTATCCTTTACCCTACCTTTTTATATAATAATTCTACCTCATACCTTAATTTTTTCTTTTTAATATTGCAAGTTTATGCTAAATATTATTGGTGCATGGCTTCATGAAACAACGACAAACAATACAATCTATCCAAATATTATATACATCGAAACCATACAATACAATATAAAACCTTACTAAACTAGACATAACAGCCATCCAAACAAGCTGTTAATTTCGATAACATATTTTGGTGTCTAATTTTGATACAGAAGTCTAAACAAGGCTTTTAGCCCTTTAACACCGTTATACTGAACGAAACATCAAACTCTATGCTTAATTCAAGTAAAAACAGGACAAACCTAGGACGCAACACCCCTAAAAATTAGGTACCAAGTAAAAACTAGAACAAATTTAGCTGACATTTTTCATTGAATTAAAATTGTAAATCTATTATTCCTCCCGTTCCAATTTATCTGACATACGAAAGAACGTCGTAAGTACTTTCTTATTTAGAAATAATTTAACTTTAAGCTTCTTATTTTACTTTTAATGAGATGATTTAGAGCCACACAAATGTCTATAACTTGTTCTAGAATACAAATTTCAAAAGTCTTTCTTAAACTCTCTATGCCGGTCAAGCAACACCACATCAATTAAAACGGAGGGAGTATTGTTGGTCACTTCTAAACACACAAAGCAAGAGAGAAATATTTTGCCTTCCGGGATCCTTCTTTCTTTAGTTTCCAATCAATGACTTAGGTAGCGTTCAGGGGCGGAGTCAGTGTTCTGGTTATGGGTTCGGCGAATCAATAACTTTGGTTAAAATCCTATATTTGTTTAGAACAATTTATAGTAATTATTTATAATTTAATAATTTAGAACCCAATAACTTAAAATGTTTAGAATTCCGAACCCCTTGAAATCCTAGCTCTACACTGGGAAGTTTATTTGAGGACAATTAGCTCATTCTTTAATGTTTTTTAAAGTTTAACTTTGTATTATAGTGATGACATATTTTGAAAAAATCATTTGGTAATGGAACTCTTTTATGTTTCTTTAAGAAAAGTCATTGCTGATCTTGGTGCAAGCCCAAGTGAACTTTGAGGCATGGTTGGACAATGACTCATTTAATAAGGAGAAATTTTCATAAAGCAATATAGTTTAGAGCCTAGTAACTATAGTTTGCCTAATTACCATTCGTAGCTACTGTTCAATTGTTACTAACTTGTATCACTTGTATTCAAATGTGCAACGTATACAACCTATGTCAATTGTATTTGTTTGCGTAATGAATAAAACATGTATCAACTCACCCACCGAATATATTATATATCAACTCTAACCAAGGTGAAATACAAAGGTGTATACAAAAGATACAACCTGTATCGACTGTATACATGGGTGTATATAAAGGATACAACCCGTATCAACCGTATTCAAACGCGTAAAGAATAAAATCAATGCTAAATACAGAAATACAAAAAAATAAAATGCTCTTGGAAAGAGTCAAACTCAAGACCTCCGCTAACTAAGTGGACGCTCTAACCAACTGAGCTACAAGAGCTTGTTGCTCTCTTATTTCAGTTCAAAATAATTAATTTTTTTTATGAATTTACTATAAAATTTAAATATAGCTACAAATGGTAAATTTGCTGAAAGTATAGCTACGAATGATAAATATAGTATATATATTTGACGTGCAGCGTAATTTTGCCTTTAATAAGTCAGCCCATCATGACCAGCCCAAACGGCCCATTTGCCACCTTTAAATTCTTGCACAGGAAGAAATTAAAGAGGCAGCACCAAGTGCAGCTTGGTGCAATTTCTGAGTTTATATGCAATCTCCTCATGCATAGGGATTCATGATTTGAACTTTATATATTTGGGTCCGGAATTCAATCAGATCCCATTTAATTTACTGAATTCAAAATCTATTATTTAATAAGGGAGCTCTTTAATATATATGTAGGGCTTAAGCCAAAGTTATTAGGTTCGGATGAACTCGTAACTCCTTCACTAAATCTACTCTTGTCCTCCACTAAATCCACTCTTGTCCTCATGCATGCTTTAGTAACATAATGATCGCCACGAACTCTTTTTTTTTTTTTAGGGGGGGGGGGGTAGGAAAATGGTTTGGTTGTTTGATAAAAGAAGAGTCATTTATGAGCTATGTACGAGGCAAAATGACAAGATTGAGTTAACACTTAGGACAATGAAAGAAAAAAGACAGTGAGGAGACAGACAAACTACGAGAGTAGTCGTTTCAGCTAGCTTTGAAATTGTCTCTTCCTGATAAAATTCAGATGCAGGAATTCTATTTAAATTCAATTAATCCAACACTAAAAAAAGATATAGAGGGGTACCAATTTGGCTTTAGGTGAATGATATTTTTGAGGGAGTCTTTGTGTATCACTTGATTTAAGTAGTTGATTTATTTTAGAAATTATATAGCTATTAAACATGTTAATTCCTCTCTCGGAAAAGACAAGGTGGCCAACATTTGAGTCAGTAAGCGCGTACCGGATTAGAACAATAACCAG